GAATGAGATCAAAAATTTAAAGTACACTTTTTTGCATTCTCTCAACACATTTTTATTCTCTACTGATCCGAACATGGTAAATCGCGTGGCATTTGTTTTGATAATATCATCAATCGCTAATTGATCCAATTACCATGAAATCTATGAACAACCCGATACGAGCCCCAAAGAAAAGAGATAAAAAAAAGAGAAACATAAGATCCTCATGCTTATCAACGTGATAGTGTCGAGGTGGGTAGACAACCGAGTGAATAGGAAGGACGATGGTAACAGAAAAGGAAATAGTTTGAATGAACATTGATTCAGACATGTAGAGGAAGAAATTAAACTGGGATTTCATCGATTTGTGGTAGGGGAAAATCGCTGCCACGCATGCCAACGGGAGTTTGTGAAATAAACAGGGTTTGCGGAATCATGTTACCATAACTGTGGTCATCCATTCGAGAACAGATCCAAATCGAAGAAGGAGGAAAATGAAACGAGTAAACAGATTTCAGGAGTAATCAGAAAGGAATTGAAACATTTGAAGACAAAACTCATATGCGTATAAGCAATGATAATAAAGAGTTGGCGCAATCATGGATAGGCAAATGGGTCATGGAGATTGAGATGGAATTTCTCGATTAATGGGATGAAGATTAGGATAGATGGAACAAAGAGATAAAACATAAACAGAACGTTGTGTCAGACGGGAAAGAAAATCGGGAATATAGAGGAATATTATCGGATGGGTTGACAGACAAGAAAGGGAGTGTTAAGAGGAACGCGATTAGACTAAGGACAGAAAATATGAAAACACCGTGAGCTGAGGATGAAGTATTTCGGATGCATTTGGTGTCCAAACAACCACCACCATAGAAAAATTTTCAATTTAAATGACGCACAAATGCCACTGAATTGGTCAAAGGGAGAAAAGAGTGCCATTCAGATTTGCATTGTTTCCGCATATGTATACAACGAGTATATTCATTCATATAGTTGCAAGCAAAAACACGCGTGTGGTGTCTGAAAAAAAGCTGACAGTTTCATTGTTTATTTTCCACAATCTGGACAGAAGATGCCCTCCTCTGTGATGAGAAATCCTTTGCCGACAAGCGACATATCACATTTGGCACAAGTGAAGCAATCCGAGTGCCAGTGTTTGTCCTCGAATGTGATGAATTTACATCCCCCAAAACCTACAAATGGAATAGAAGAGACTGATCATTAGGATTCGCAATGTGTGTTACGTATTGGCTGGTGAAAAGTTGCGGCTTTTTCTGCTACATTTTGAGTGCAATGTTTCTTGCACAAATACAGTCTGGAATACGGTGAATGGGATTCTGGAGTTTCTCGTTTACTCTTGAATGTTTTCGCTACTGTACAAGTCTAATTTACGATGCAGTCCAGAAATTAGGTTTTATTCGATCTGCATTCTTTCTACATGTTTATTACTGCGTATTTAAAATACTTGCCGTATGGTGTTAAATTCTTATTTGGGCCTAGGCATTCATGTGGAACGTTTTCCAAAGTTGGCTTGACGAAACACTTCTGTAACACTGATCTTTATTCCACAACTGATCACTTTTTGGTGGAATACAAGATTGCTACTTACAATTTCATTCAAAAGTGACTTGACTAGTAGCCCTGTTGGAACTTGTAAATACACATGCATGCTAACGACAACACCATACAACACATACTGTATCCGAAAAGCTAGATGACTATCACCACCAACGGAAATCTTTTCCTATTTGTGGTTACTCACTCAACTCATACAGATAGGTGAAAGCACCAATATCTCCATAAGCTGAAGAGTAAGACAGGTTACACCTCAGACAAAATGTAGCGCACCAGTTATCAACTAAAGCTGACTAAATTATTCATAGTGGATAAATTGCCCGCTATTACGAATTGTTTGAGCGTTAGTGTTAGGTTCGCTTGAGGATGGGACTCCAATCGGAAAACTATCCTCCCCGCAAATTTATAAACTTGTCCAGAGAAAATTAGCTCCTACGAAGATAGATTCTTAGAGGCTAGCCAGCACCAAACAAGGTGATCATCTTGTCTGGGAGAACTAAAAGCAAAACTGGACTATAAGAATCGAGCAGATGCAAACAACCAATGCGGAGTTGTAATGGGGATAAGAAATGATGCAACAAGAATGAGAACGTAGACAGCAGGACTCAGTAACGAAGAAAGAAGATGTAAGTGACATTTCGTTAACTTACTAGTCTATTTAGGGCCTAGATTGAACCCACTCAGGCAATGAACTATGTCAACATTCATTCCTGAGCATGGCTACTGATTTATCGGTCCATCTTGACGTGTTTTACTTCCTTATCCCGCCAACCGTAGTCAAGTACCGTCGGGTTCAAGCATTCCAATCTGCAGCTCATTCGATCAATTTTGAAGGACAACGTTTGCCGGTTGGGATGAGCAGTCATACTCCACCCCAAGGAAACTTTCATCCCCGATCGACAACTCATTCAAAATATAATTCTGTTTGTTTGTGGAGAAATCAGTCCGTCCCGTGTGGACAAGGTTTTCATAGAACCGGTCCAATCGGAGACGTCTGGCGGCCGAAGTACTAATCAATTTTTGGTTCTGAGTCGAAGGTAGAGTCACTAAAAGTGCTAGTGCATCCGCTTGAAGCTGAAACGATGTGAAGTGGATTCAATGAATGTGGGTTCCACAAAAACTTATTACAACCGCATTTTGGATGATAGTCGTTGAAGCTCAAATTAATGAAAAAAGATTGAAATCGATCGCAATTTCTCTTGAGAACTAATTGGGTGTTGAAATAGCACAAGGTTGTGTATACAATAGTATAATGATCACTAATAACATCCTTTAGAGTCGAAAGAAAAACAACAAAAATCCCCGAAGATTAATTCATCTTAGAACTTTATTTTTTCTTGGAAAGGTAAATTACCAAGGATGAAGTTCATTCAGGTATTCGATCAAACAGTAAACTTATTTTGGTAATGCTTTTCAAATAACGAAATTAATAAAAATCGATGCAAATTGGTGCTTTGGTAATATGGTGTCATTGAATTGATGGACCGGTTTATGAGAGTATCGGTTATGTTTGGAACTTCACAAATAGATGAAGAATTCGTATTCTGTTTTGAACCGACTGCCCCTCAGACTTCATCTTCACGCACAATCCTCAACTTTTCCAGGCAACCATACACCCGGAAGCAGTAGACTCGAGTTTCGATCTTATTAGAGCTCATCAGTAGTGTATATCCACCGTCCAGTTCGGGCCTCGAACTCCTGACCCATCGCATTAAAGGCGTGTTTGTTGCCACTGTGCCAACCAGCTCATACCAGAGTTGAACCGAATTCGTGTTTGTTGAGGTGCTGTCTTCAGTGATAGTCAGTCAGTTTATTTTGACCCGACGGCAACAAAGGGATACACGGTTGACTATCTGTTAACTCCCATCGAAAGCCTCCTAGCAAATGGGGTCTTCCATGCAGGTTACTGATCAACTTGACCCCAACCTACCAGGATCAATCGATAATTCGTATTTAACCCACTGCTACTTGTGTATAGTGATTTGTAATATTTGATATTGGGTTGAACTGACCATTCTTCAGAAACTGGAGTCTATTGTGCTTCCGGGTGAATGGTTGGCCGTGCGAGATGAGGATTGTGCATGGAGGTGCAGTTTGAAGGACAGTCATTTCCCATACCACTACTCACAATTAACTGTGAGTTAGATGTGAATTCTTATTTTCACCAAAAACGAACCCCACGCTAGTGATTAATGTCGTTGTTATGAAAACAGCGACATATTACTCCTCTCAGTACCAATGTACAGGATTGCACGGCGAACAGTNAGCAAGTCTTTCGGTGTGTATAATCAGTATTATAAGGAGGTTTTACCAAGAATACCACTTGATGCAAATATCTTTATCTCAAAATCTATGGAAATCTTCCATTGATTTTTAGACGGTAACTTCATTGTTCATGGTGTTGCGACAGCAGTATTTGCATGCACTTGCATGTGCATCGTTCAACTGGAAATGGCATTGTTTTCTACCACTTATCATACAGCGGGCAAAGAAACAAATAAATCACATGGAAAGGTACTTTAATCTTCCCCTCCTCGGTGACTGACATTGAGATGTTCCTTTCGATCCTGAGTCGCATATCGGAGGGGACTGATTGGGAATTTTTCCCATCAAGCAATTTAAAACTGTACACTAGCTTCGCCCAGTCGTTCCTCTCTGTCTGGTTTGACCCCTATTGCCAGAAAAAATAATATCTGACATATGAATCTACTGAAATGTCAGAATACATCATATTAGATCACACCTTATAAGGTCGTATCATAATTTAATTGTGGTCGCATTGTGATAGAACCGATCAAGAACTGTTCTCATTTTGCCTTATTGACTGTTATGCACTGGTCCTTTAACAACTGCGCATCTGTGTTGGAGAACTATTTTCGTAGCCCTCGGATGCTAACGAACATAACTTGGGAAAATTAGTTAACCTCAATGAATACACCTTAACCAAGATTTGACATCTCCAATAATGGGACCAATCTTAGAAACTGTAAAATATGCGCACCATAAACGTAACTTGTCTGGTTATCAATATTATCATAAATTTCATTAACCTCTTCCATTCAGGCTTAAATATGGCAGTGTATGAATCCATTGTATTACATGATTGCGTTCCAGTGGCAATAACCCGAATGTTCAGTTACAATTTTTGACCTTGTTCTCTTATTATTCAGAGTAAGTACCTTAACTACCAACCTTTTCACACAACAGCACATCATATGAAAGCAAAACACTGATTGATGAGGTATTTGAAAACTGCAAAAGATAAATCGCTCATGTGACATCGAGCTGCGATTTTTCAGACTGGATAGGATGCACAAATTCCTTCAAATGGAACCCTTATTCACACTCTGATGGTCAAATGCACCCAATCATCCAATCACAAGTATGAATGAAAACCAGAGGGGAGCACGAAGACAAAAAACAAAATCATCGCGTCACAATCACTCACCACTGATAGGTTGAGTACATTTGGCGCAACGCTTGGCAAACAGCTGTGTATAACAGTCGGCACAATAGGGTTTCTCATCTTTCGAGGTGAACTTCTGTCCGGACAGTTCAGCGTTACAATTCACACAGAGGAAACAGGTCTTGTGCCAGGGTTGACCTTTGTAAGTGACACCACCTTTTTGAATGGCCTACAATGACGGAAAATGGATGGACAGATGTCGAAACACAAGACAAAATGAGCGATTCAGGAAGGAATCAAAATGAAGCACTATTTTGTAAAAATGTGTTGTTACATATGGAAAACCAATTCTGGTTTGATCTCTTAATGAACATTTGGACTGACCATCATTCACACTCCATATAAACGCAATTCGTCCGAGCAACTATATTCTGAACGAACTGAGGATAGTACGGGAAGGGGTCTAGGGGAAGGATGATTAAAATGAATGCCACAAGTAACACCAAGTGAAATGTGAATCTTAATAAAGTATTTGCCAATAAAACTGTCGGTCGAATTTCGGAGTATGCTTTAGTTTATGGACTTGAAAATGAAGATCCCGTTTAGTGTCGCATCAAATTTTCGAATTATCTATTTTCTGCATAAATTAGTGGATCGAACTTTCAAACTAAAACCAAATTTGGATCAAAATGACCAACTGGACTCTGTTAATCAATCATCTGAGGTACACTAACTTACTATCAATGGGTATTTCTACTGAGCAACACAAGTGTTTCTTAAGTGAATAATGACTTTTGTAGCAGACGTGCCAGATACTCTTTCAGCGGACCATTGAAACACTCTTACAATGGCTGGACGCGATTCACATACTAAAGACTTTCTCTCCATTCATCCTTCTGAAATAATCCACATCGTAGCGCGAAATCACACAAACACCGGCCTGATAGACCACCCGTTAACAACTTACTGATAATCACATACAATAATTCATGGGGTGAAAAAAGTGTTAACTAGCCTGTGTTCTCACGGTCAGTCAGTCGGAGAAACTGTCGCGGTCCCGTTTGTGATTGACCCTGAGCAAATCAGATAGCGTTATTATCCGTGCATCGATTCAGTGACTAAGTTGGGTTAATTACTTATTTATACACCCGACGAAGAATCTAATGCAATTCTCTGGACTGTACTCATAGAAGTTACTTTAATGCTGCTTGCATCAACCATTTCATCTCAAAACCTTCTACACGCCTTTTCTGTTTGATCTGTCGAAGCTTTCGAATAATATCGCCGTTTATATTATTTCACTCTGTAATCCAGGATGCCTCTCATTCATGTTTTCCGGTTCTTGAGCGTTGGTAAACCTTTTGGGTTCATGTCTGGGCTGCACGCAGTCCACACCGTTCTTTGTATGTCGAGACATAACAACCAACATCTTAGGTGATAGCTATGAACGGCATGATCATGCTGAAAACTGGCATCAGGATGATTATCCAGTGTCATTGCTAGCATAAGGTGCTGCTCCCTTAAAAGAATGTAAGTATCCACTTCTTCCACCCGACGTAGTGCATCAACTGCAGTTGGAACGTTCTACGAATTTCTATCGTTTAACAGCTCCACAGATTGTCAGTAGTAATTCCACACCGCGGGCCTACGTAAATTAAATCAGTTTTCGTCACTAATATAGAAAAACTTTCAATCGTTTTTCCAAGTTAAATGACTTTCAGTGCGGAATAATTTTTAGTTCTGTGTGTAAAGTTGTAAGAGCTCTGCGGCATTTCATTAACTATTAATTCATCCAGGAGACGGTTTTGAGTGCTCAATACTTCTTTTCCTCCACACATCCGGCTCAAGCACCGTTTCTATCTCCGATGCATGCCTCAGGATATTCGAGGCTTTACGCAACAACCTGCGATCATTTTGTCAGAGAGCTTTCTCTAGTGTCCAATCCGTTTAGCACTATTTTTAAATGCTTCCACATTGTAAAACGTGTCACAATAGATCTGTAGCTATTATATTATTCACATACCTCATATGCTCTAGTAGTGACTTTACTAAAAGCATCGATTCGGAAACCTCATCCGAAGCACCACAATTGACAACGACCCACTTGGAAATCCGTATTCCTTCAAGATCCTTGAGAATGATGGGAGTATTTGGCAACTTTCACCAGGGATCCACATGACTGTAGTTTGCCTCACTTTGTCGAACACAGAATCACTAGTGTTGCCAGTTGTCATGCCATATCATGCGCACTCGTTTCTAAACCAATTGAGGGATGTAAAGTCTAATGTGCGGTGCAATGGTTGTCCCGTCATGAAAACCCTACTTTTGATTCAATGTATTTTCGTTATTATAAAACATAATTTGCTGAATTTTTTCAGTTTTTCACTAGGTTATTGTCTATGTTCTAAAAGATGGCGATAAGGGTGCACATGAGAGCAAAGATAAACTCAAAGCCTAAGGGGACCGCAATACGTTTATCATGGAGCTTATATACTCTGGTTAAATTCAATTTGGGTTTTGTTCTTTAATTCAGAAGATTATTGCAGTTAGTTTCGGGAATTCATGTTCGATTTTTTACGATTAGTCACTTTGTTATGTATCTGCCTATTTTCAACTTTGACTCTTTCTCGTTTAAACAAATTGAAAATTCATAGTGGACACCTCCTACAGATGTGATGTCCTTCTGAACAGAACTAAAAGTCAACATCAGGAGTGCCGTCATAGACGGTAGAAAGAAAACGAGGGCAGGGCATTCAGGCAGATGGAAAACAAGTAAACAAAATCCACCGGAATCAACCAAATGTTCCCGTTTAGTGAGTTATTAGGACGGAAAGGTAAGTGAATATATTTTCAAATGGACTGCATTTACCAGTTGACCTATCCATTATGATGGTCGAATAAAAGCTGAATGATTGAGATTATTGCCATTAGCTAGTGCAGGTAAGGATGTCAGCGCCTAGGATCCAAAATACAATCAACGACAAGGTTATAAATGAAATGGCGTTTAAGGTTTTGCATGAAAAGGTATGAGTCTTTTGACCCCGTTGGTGAGTGAACTCGGAAGTTATCCAAACAGAGTGGAATCGTTATAAAATACGTTTTATCCATTGCATGGATAACTAATACCGAACAATCCCTCAAACCTAATACAACTTCTAGTCTAGTATTTACTGGATAACCAAATATAATGTCAGGATTTTGCCCATCAATAAAGCCAATCCCTTACACCTCGCGAAATGTTCTCACATGACCAAGCGTCTCAAACAGCTTCCGCTGAGGAAGCCCTACTCACTGCCTTCCCGTGGTACAGGTGTTTTCCCACCAAAGTGAGAGGACGAATACGTGACATCCGGGGCTATAACGTGGTGGATGAACCAATGGTAGTCCACCTAGAGGATTTGGCTAAAAGCCCTGATTCCAGACTAACCAAGAAGAGGTGCACGAACCACACACAGACCTTCCTGGTTTTGGCAGTGGTCACCAGCTAGACTGGGGATCGAGGTTTATTGGGCACCTTGGACGTTTGACCCATTTCAAAGAGCGTATGATATAATCAACTGAATACCGGCTCCCAAGGGATTGCGGACTCTGACCTCCGTACTGTTGTCTTGCAGGTCTGGCTTTCTAGCCAAAGGCTTCGGGTGGAAACCCCGAGGTTATACCCCTTCCTCGATCAGGGTAAACGGGAGGTATCACACAACCTATGAACACATTCTATAGATTTCTTCTTGTCCATATGTTGTGGCACATTTGCCAGTTCTGTTTAATTGGTTACGTGTCGAAAAACCACTAAAAGCGGAGTAACACAAACTTCTAGCAACGTAGTCACGCTAGTTCTGTTTCCAGTATTCTAGAATCAACACTGGTTTATAGCTTACATTTCAGCGCTTTTCCTCTGCATTCCAAGTACACTCCATCTAGACTACTCGTCAACGTATCAACTGGCAGATGAGCAGCACGAATAAGCAGATACCTTAGCCTACTGTTCTCTGAATTCCCGATAATCTGTTTAAGACTTGGTGATTTCCATGAGACAGATAAGTAACTCGCGAAATAAGCGTTTATAATTGTGTCAAGAAAGATCGTCGAACGAACTGATTCACTTCTGAGATTAGCATCATGGAGGAATGGTCACGATAAAGCCAACTTTTACCATATGAGCTTACTTTCTCATAGACCCAAATAGCGATACGCAGTAGGAAAACATTTTCTTTGCTTGTTTAATACGTAAGTTGAACGAAGAGCTCAAAATGTGTACCTACCGTCGTGTTCGTGTGAATGGTCGCGTTCCTTAAGAATAATCAGATTTCATAAGCTTAGTTCATTGTACCTACCATAATTGTGATATTTTTCCAGCATCCTATAGAACTTAGCTGTAATTTGAGTTTGCTTTGCAATTTGAAAATTATTCACGAATTGTGTCCAGGTTTGTTTTCGAAAATGCTAATTTCATATTTTCAGAAGTGTGATTCTCCGCTACTCTCTGTTTTATTCGTTTTATGGGCTCCTGAAATGATTTCGCACATAGCCAGTTGGGCTCTCTGCCTGGTTGTGGATCGCGGCAGGCCGATATATGTATCGTGAACGCATCACTCAACCATTTTGGATAGATGACTATAACGCAATTAGGGTGGCGAATCAAATAAGGTCCCACCAGAGTGATCATCATATTGATTCAGACTAGAGTAAAGCCGACTGCTGCTAAACGCAATCTACAGGAAGCTTCTATGAAGAGACACTCACATGCGTTCAAGTATCTTCACATATATCGCGTTAATTAAAATTCATCACCACGAGTTATGAACACTGCTGAAAGTCCTGTTCCGTTTTATTCTTCGAAGAGTCTGCAATCGGTTGCAGTCGGAATGTATAGCATCCATGGGTAAGTAATGAATAAAATATCACCAAACACACTGCAATCATAGGGAGATGAAAAGGTCAGTCCCTGTTTGGAAATCATGTATTAGCCTACCTTGCCACATTTGAAGCACTTTTGCGAATATTTTTCTTCATAGCACGGCACACAAACGACCCCTTCGTCTTTTGGGACGAAAGATTTGGTGCCCAATGGTTGTTTACATTCCAGACAAGTGAAACATTCTTCATGCCATGTGGAGCCTTTGTATTCGTATTTTCTCGATCCGGCTTTGAATATCTTCTTGCATCCGTCACATCGTGGTGAAAAGCGCTCGTCGTAACAATCAGGGCAGTACAATTCGGTGTCTTTGGTCACAAACGGTTTGTCAGCCAGCGAACTTTTGCAAACGGTACAGAAAAAGCATCGCTCGTGCCAGTGTTTATCTTTGAATGACAGGTCCTGCACAAATAAACAAGGTTACATGGACAGAAAAATACTTAGGGGGTCTGCAAACAAACAGTTCCGGTATTCTATTCGCAAATCGTTAAATAACAGAACATGAGAGAAATGTAGGATTTTGTTGTTTATACGGTGAAGTTCATCGTTTAAGGAACAAATGAAAGGTGAACTGAAAAGCGGTGAATTACTGTACAGCTATTACTACCCGACTGGATCTCATCAGCAGTGTGAATCCTGCGACCCAATTGGGGCTCGAACCCGGAACCTCACGAGCATAGCGAAAGCATACTATCCAATCTGCCACCAGACAGCTGGTTAGCTTGCTTTTGTTCTTTTATACACAATATAGCACAACGAATCTTCGCGAGCCTAATGTAGACGAAATTGACAATATGATTAAACCAAATACCCCATTACCATCATGTAACACGTAATCTATTTGGAATGTTTTCATAACCTTGGAGGTCACTGCTGAGATGAGCGAGGTGCGACCCCGGAACAAGTCGCAAAGATGGGTTGCATTACATTGTGCAAATCGAAAATGAAAAGCGCTTTTATAAGCTTCATTTGCATGCATGCATGACGAAAATTAACATATAAATGATGGTACATGAAAGGGAATCATGAAAAAACTGTTGAGATCAAGAAATACGGATTTCTGCCGTATTAGATAATGCGTGGAATTAAATGAGTGTGTTTGGCGAATGAAGACCGACTTCTCTTATGGATTGAGTGTGAGTTTGCATAACATTGAGGCTAGCATTTAATAGTTTAACACCAATTGTTCACTGAACGTTTTTAAGTAGTCGAGAGGTAATTTGTAATTCATTTGAATGTGCTCTCATCCCAAACAGTTAAAGTTTGTTCACAATGAAATTTGTTTGATCAGCCTTTTGTTTAAAGATCAGATCCATAAGTTACACGGATGAAAGACCTGGATGTACGTCTGGCCATTCATTTTTGTCGGAATGCTGGACCGTGTGTGGCGGGGAGAGCATAGCTAATGTTTTCTGCACACTGTAAGTGGAATCGTGAAGACGAATTCCCACCGCCTCCTCTGTGGTTAGCTGAAACAAGCAAGCATATCTTGATCATCAGCAAAATAATAAGTCTATGGTAAATATTAAACCAAAACAACCAACTCCTCATACTAATGTCTGAAACGCTGGGCTGGTTTCCCTTGTTTGTTGTGAAGCCACAGTGAAATCTGAATCGGGAAAAGGTTTGTGACCAAACAAATCTTCCTTTGTAACTAAAAATTGCTTCAGTTCAACTGGTAGGTTCAAAATTTAAGCATCCTACAATCACAGACAATTCGAGGGAATGATCAAAAATTGAACAAAGCTCTAAGTTGAAATCATTCAGCAAACTACTCGGAAAAAAGCTGACAACTGTGGTTTCTTCCTCATTTGGTTGAAAATTGTGCCAAAAGCGCCGTTCATAAATGAGGTGGGATTAAAATAAATTGGGCGCAGCAGGGGAATACACAGAATCGTACCAGTCCGGGCTTCAACCGCATAACCTCCGGATCAGTTTGTTGGTGGACTGAGCCATTTGCTTATAAATATGAAAACATACAGCGGTTAAGCCTGTTTACCAAGGGAACGTAACAATTAGTAACGGATTGATGATAGTGAAACCAGACCATATTTCTGAGGGTGTATACAAAGAAACAAAGGGAATAATGGAACAGATGACTGTGTGAGGGCGGTGCCTTCATTTAAGTTGCAACAATGCATTGCAATAAATGGGTGGAATTCGGCTGGGGGTAAGCAAAAAATAATGGATATTTTCTCCAGTTCTTCTACTCCAATTGTTCATTCAATAGGGTTCGCCTCGGCCTCGTTTTGCGCAATTAAGTCTCTCTCTCGCTCTCTAGCCGCCTGATCTATTTCATCTTTGAAGTCATACTGACTCAAATTCTCTATTCCACCCCACCCCACTAACATGCATGTGCCCTCATCGTGTGCGCAATTTGATGAATAAAGAATATCTGTTCGATTCGCTGGACTGAATAATTCTCCTATTCTTTTTGTTACCGACTGATAGAAAAAAAATAGTATTCCATGGGAAGCATCATAATTGGCGACATTCATGAGATGAGAATAGAACAGGTGCGTGGCTGTACTCACCGATCTTCAGGTCCTACGAGACATTCATATTTATGGCTGGAATCGGCATTAGGAGGCTGAGGAGGCTCACAAAGGCCGCCAGAAATGCATATTCTCCCCTCCTTCACGAGGCAGGTTGCCTCCACTGCACAGTCTATTCTATTTATCAATAGCAATATAAGACAGAAATTATTTTTAATATGAAAAGTATCTTCGGTGGTCATGGTGACCAGTTTTCCTTCACCCACGTATTAACCCTCAGATGTTAAAATGTGGTATAGATGGGTGGTGTTTTCTTTTCAGTTATCCTAAATGGCCGTTTGACCTTGATTAGGCATATTGTGAACCCCAGGGAAAACGGTTATAGTGAGCTAAAAGGTGATTGTGTTTTATTGCAACTATCGGAAGTGTGGCGTATGCGGTATGGCGGACTAATATGAGCTGGTTGAGAATGCATTAGAGAAACCAGAAACATTTTGTTGTCGTTTTATGCATGAATCGATCAGAACCAGTTAGCAGATGGACAGTTACAGAACCAAGCTCATAATGATCACCAGGGCAAAGTCTGAGTGGAAATCTGCAGTAGTAGAGACCCACAAGGGGGAAGATGTTGCAGTTTAATTTTATCAATCCTACAAGTGCCGCAATGAGACTTCCCAGGGCACTGAGGGAGTGGTCTTGATAGCGACTGTTTACAATATTGAGTGGAATGTAGTTGTATCGCTTTGTGAACGATGTGGCCTATGAATCAATTAATGTACAGCATTTGTGTCAGTGCAAATTGAGTGCTTGCCTAGTGTTGTGAGGTACTAATCACATTTGTGAGTGGTACACAAAAGGATCCAGTTGTCGGTTTCGTTCAACGATCACAAATGAACCAGATCTAGTAGATTGAATTGGTGTGTTCAAAAGGAGAAGCACCGCCTGTTCCATTCATTATCCTGTGTGCTGCAAGAATTATGATAACAGGTCCAAAATGAGATATCTTGTTATTTGTACACCAAATCATCCATACCCTAACTGAATTCCCCTTAAGCCAACACCGGTCCTCTGGAATTATAACACGAGTGATATCAAAAGTTAAGCAATCAAGCAACAGCGCTCACAGAGTATGTGTGCCTGAGAGCCTGCGAACGCAATCCAAATTTACACGCTATTATTCACTGGATAGAATCAGCTCGAAAAGGAAAGTAACATGACATAAAATAATGATAGAATTCATAAACAGTGATAATTCATTATCTTGCCACCCCATTACCCAAAAAAATTAAACCTTTTAACTGTGAAGTCATTGAAATCCCTTTGATTTAAAATCTTCAAATGGCAATGGCTTACGAGTGGTGATATGGAATAAGTGGTGCACTTGATTTTCTCCGAAACTTCCTTTTCACATCAAAAATGCTTGGTACCATCAGCCATACAAACTATGCCAAGCTGTCGTTGAAGGCAATCTAAAAACAAAATTGAATCGAAAATCTCAATCATTTCCGTATGAGCTACCTCACAAAGTGATGAAACCTGCCTCTTCCAGAAGAGTAGTTTCGGGCATACATTTTGGACAAGCACCAATGAGCAGCTCAGATAAGAGCCGAGTGTAGGTCATGTGCTTCTCGAGAGTTTGAACGATTAGAAGAACTGAGGTTTGTGCGAGGATATGAAGACTGAGAAAGAGTCAGACAAAACAATACATCTTGCCTACGTAGAACACGGGACATTGAGCAAAACAACGTAACTGAGTAGTCAAATCAGAAGGCAAATTTTGTACTCAAAACTTTTGCGATTTATTTCTAAGCTTATAAAAAACGAGAGTAAGTCAAACCGTAATAAATTGCACCACGGAGTTCATGCTAAAAGAAATTTTTAATGGTAGGATTATTGTTAAATTCAATAATATCTACAGTCGGTAATGTATCTTTAGGTGATTTTCAGTTTCGATGTCGTCTGCCTACTCTAGATCACACAACCTCCCACCTGGGAGTAAGTTGATGCCACTATCCTCGCACGAGGAAAGAGCTGTTTCCATGATCAAATCTATCAAGAAGTTGAATAGAAATGGAGAGAGGTAAACCCTGTCGAACAACACTTTCCGTGGTTAACTCGGGTGAAAAAGAGGTGTAAGGTCGAACTCGGTTTCGGTTATGAGTATAGAGGGATCGTAATCTCGGGCACACTCTTTAGAGCGAGGAAGCGCCAGACTTTAGAGCGGTCGACGGAGACGAAGGCCGCTTTCAGATCCAGAAAGATAAAGACTGTGGGTCTACGAAAAGAATGTCCGTGCTCCAGAGTTTGGCGAAGAGGGAAGATGTGGTCGATACAACCTCCACCATGTCTAAACCCAGCTTGATTCTCACGTATTCACCGTTCACGTGCGGCAGACAATCGACGGAGTATGATACCGGCGAGAAGTTTAGAGGCAATATTGATTAAACTAATTCCTTTGTGGTTTTCACAGGAGGATCTGCCACCTTTCTTGTAAATCGGTATGATCACCGATTCCAAAAGAGAACCTGCTACCTTTCTTGTAAATCGGTATGATGACCGATCCACACTATTCAGCTGGAACCTGTTCCCTCTCCCACACGGAGCCCAGAAGTTTCGTTAACTCCGGAACCAAGTGTACAACAACAAAAGAAAAAAACGACTTCATTTGTAATAGTTTTCCAATAGTCCAACCAATTGTACGTTCTCTAAATCAAGTGAATGGTATGGTTCACCAGTATGGCATTGTCACTATTGTTAATCTCCTGGCTCAATGTTTCTTTTTTACCATATCAGACTTTATATCGGTCAAGATGTCATGTTTTACTACCGTAATTTACGCGTTTGATAATTAACCAACAAGTTTTCCCCCATTTCACCGCCTATATTCAATGTGAGTTCCACAAGACA